ATATTCCCTTCAATATATATATATATATATATATATATTCAACCTATATATTAAAAGAAATTAATATTTGACAGATGTCTGAATATCGATTATTCATGTATTTTTTGGCCTCATGATGGAAGTCTGCTTCATGAGTCTAAAATTTCAGAGCCACCCCGTCATGTTGGTTTTGAATCTCTGACGTGACGGGACTTAGAGTGACTCTGCTACCAACAGGTCAAGGTTAAGTTATGACATGAATTAAATAATGACCAATTAAATAATGTGGAAATGAAATTATATTTTCTCTATTAAATTAAAGTCATATAAGAACAGATGAACGAATCAATTGATAAGAACAGCAGCAGAAAATAATTTATTGATTAGTCTGTATTAAAATTCAATCTTAAAGTGTCAGAACTTAGAAATAATCGAGCTATAAAACATAAATGTATGTTAACAAAAAACACTCCACCTCAATGTACTCGCCTTCTCCTCCTCTTCCATGGCTCCATTTCTTTCTTTACCGTTTACCCCCCACCTTATATTTTCTTGTACAAAATATAAAAGGGTGTTTAATAATAAAGGAAGGTATAAGTAATTAAACATAGACGGCGTTGTTGTGATCAAAGACCGAAGCGGCCCGCCGTGTCCGGTGCGTTTCCTCCGGCATGGCGGAGACCCAATGTGAGGGACAAGTCCCCCGTCCTTGCTGCGGCGACGGCTGCTGCCCGGCGATACATTTCATCGTCTAGTGCAGGAGGAGGAAAGATGAGGGAATTAGTGGAAGCGGAGAGGTCGTGAGGTGGCGGAGGAGGTTGATCATGATTAGTTTGGGCTTCGGATTCGGTAGTGTGAGGCAGATGCCGCTGCTGCGCTGTGGTTGCTGCGGCCAATAGTACTCTGTGGGGGGTCATGTTTGTTTCGTGATCTGGATTGACCCGGGAATCCTCCTCCTCCTTTGCTTCTTGTTGATACATGTCTTCTACCATAGGTTTCCACAGCCGGACTCTGGCATTTATGAACCAGTTGGAGACCTGCATATGCCCCCCCAAATAAAATAAAACAAAAAAATGAAATGAATTAATTTAATTTAGGGAAAAATTAAAATAAAAGGAATAGCATGTACTGCCTATTGATCGAGGGGTTGTTTTTTGAAAGACAGTATTGAATCCTACCATGCATGATCCCCTTGTTGTCTTCTGTCTTTCTGCTGATAATTTTGGACGCTGGTGGTCTTGTCAGACTATACATATATATAAATATCGTATATCCGGTTAATTAATTATCTACTGCGCCTGCGGTTAAAATTATTTCAAACAGTGACAAGCCTGACTAATCGAGGGGG